CCCCTAGTAACGAGCGATCACTATGAGACAGAGTAGCATAGAGGGCTAAGGGTAGGGGTAGGTCTAGGGATAGGGGTAGGGGGTTAGGGTTAGGGTTAGGGTTAGGGTTAGATCTAGGTCTCTTTTTTATTGTGTTATTGGGGCGGTCAATTGCTTTAGAAGTCCTTTCCCCCTTTTATTAATATCTGGTAAAAAGGGGGGGGGATTTTATTACCCCCCCCTTTTTTACCCCCCCCCCCCCCCCCCTTTTATTTGCAACCTCAGAGTACACTAACAACTTGGTTTCGTTCTTCCACATTAGAACAATAACAGGTCTAACGTGAGTATGTTTACTGGCGCAGGCTATAAATAGAACAGCTCTCTTCGCTAACGCCTTACGCTTCGTGTAGCCCTAGTTGCCACGGACAGCGCCGCAAGCTGTACTGTCTCGTTTACATTGCTAGGTCTCTGGTTGTAGTAACTTCACAGGAAGTCGAGTTATGAACTCAGTACTGAGTCAGTACTGACCAAAGTATCATTTATTCACAAGCCTTTTATACATATGGGCGCATTAATATTAAAACAACACTATTTTAACCGAGACCAGTTTGCACGTTGGAGTCGAGCAACTAAAGCGCTACATAACCCCCCTCCCAGCGTGGTACAACTATGTACACAGCGAAATGTCAGGAATTGATTTAATAATTAATATGACCATCGTTCTGGTGGTTGCGAAGTTGCGATATGCGACCAGAGTGGGTGGAAATGTTCGGATTTATCACTAGTAGAGATGATGGTACAGTCTTTGATTTTGAGAAGGTTGGTGGCGACACCTCAGAAGAGCAATCCAGTCTCTTGTCAACTGAGGATGTGAATGGGGTCACGAAAGCAGCCTTTAGTTGCTCGATCGAACCTTTCTCTGTGCGACCCTTGATGTCCAGTGTGAAAAACTTATCACTGGCGCCAATTATGCAATAAGGGCCTCCGTACGGTCGCTGAAAAGGGGACATGTCACAGCCAGTACGGACGTAGACATAACCTGTTGAAGACTAGTTTGCAGGTATGTAAGCAGATCGCTGTCCGTGAAACTTTGGTGCAGGGGGAAGCACTGACGCATGGTGCGTTGAAGATGTTTAAGAAATGTAGAGTCTGGTTCAAAGGTCCGTGAGCCAAGGGGCGGAAGAAATTCCCCAGGAAGGCGAAGTGTTGAGCCATACACAAGCTCAGCTGGAGAACAATCGGGATCCACTCACCAAGAAGAGCGAATTCTCCAAAGAACCATGGGCAGTTCTGCCACCCAGTCAGGACCAATGGTGCGTGCTTTGAATGCTGCCTTGAGCTGACGATGGAAACGTTCCACTATGACATTTGCCTGGGGTTATGAGTCTCAGTGCTTAACATCTTGTTACACCCTGCCCAGAGATTGGAAATGAACTGCCTGCCGCGGTTTGATGTAATGTCTTCTGGAACTCCAAACCTGTCACTCCAATGATGGATGAGGGCTCAAGCGCAGGTGGGGGCATGGGCATCCGGTAGAGGGATGGCTTCTGGCCATCTGGTAAAACAGTCTATTATGATGACAAGATAGTTCATTCCTTGATTGGCTGACAAAGGCCCCCACGAGGTCCACATGTAGATTGCAAAATCAGGTGTTCGGCGGAAGGTGTTCTACTAGTGGAGCACTTGTGTGTCGATTAATTTTGGATGTTTGGCAGGCATGACATTCTTTGCACCA